GGCACAGACCACCACCGCAAGTCTCCCTGACAGCGCATTCTCACGGCCACCTCTGTTGCAGGTGACAGGCGCCCGTGTCACTCACACCGCTACACAACACCCATAGTTCCCGGACAGAACTACAACAGAACAGTGGGCTACGGCAGCAGCGCCACAGTTACAAGGACATCCTGTCACACAACAGTTGCTCTCGCCAGCGCCTGTCACAACATTGAGACAGCCCTGTAGCCGTCCCAACAAGCAGCCAGGCATTCTGACATGGCCCCCACGATTGTCCCTAGGATACCCTGGCCCCGATCTGGGAGGCAAGGACAGACTGAGGCTGACAACCCCCTCTCCCACTACAGCCGGTGAGGCAAAGGGAGGGGCGCAGGGAGGCGCAGCTGTTGGCAGTGGGTGCCAGCCCCCCTCATGAATATTCATTAGCTGGGGAGTTCCTGAACCTGTGGGGAGTCGGAGGTCCCTGGCAGCTGGGCGCCCCCTTCTGTGACAGGAGGCCTGCAGGGGAGGGGCTCAGCCAGGCCCACTCACACACATGCACACACATTTGTGAACATGGACCCTTGGACACACAAGCAGCATTCACACAAACGGACACACTCACCCATGCAGTCACCCATCTCACACACACACACACACACACACACACACACAAGAAGTATGCAAACAAGCACACAGTCACATGAACACACAACCACACCCAAACCACAGACATTCACCACACACACACACACACACACACACACAAGCCAGACGTGGAAACATGGGCTCACACAATCACATGACCACAGCCGTGGTATCATATCCAAGACACCAGCACACACAGGCATGCACACACATACACATGCACTTCTAAACATAGGCACATGTACCCCAAAAGCCTACTACTTTCTTTGTGGTGTTGGGGCTGAACCCAGGACCTGTACATTGAGCTATCTCCTGCCCCCTCCTTCTGTTTGAGATAAGGACTTGCTAAGCCAATAAGGTACCTAGGCTGGACTGAAACTTTCCATCCTCCTGCCTCAGCCTCCCAGAGTGCTGGGATGACAGGCGTGCACCACCGTGCCTGGCTAACGAACCAATCACTTCCTATAAAACATTCACAAAAGTGTGGACCCACAAATCTGCATACACATGGTCTACCAACTTTCAGATGCAAGCTCACACATCCACTCCAAGGGTACCTTCTCTCTCTTCCTCAGGAGCGCACGCGTGCACACACACACACACACACACACACACACA